AAAAAAAATGGCTTCAGTTCTCCCCCCCAACATTCCTCCAGCAAACCATGGAGACACATATGGGCCAATAACACACTAATAATCAATGCTAACTACACTACTAAAACAACAAAATTCTTACCATCAAATTATTTGCAGCTTCTAGATCTCTTTGCTGTCTCTCCTTCAACAACTTGTGAAAACTGGTAATGTGCTTTTCATTAAAAGGTGCTCGCTCAAAACCATCTAATTCCAGCTGTGCTGCCAAAGACTGAATTAATGAATCCCTCGTTGCGATGTGCTCCTGGTGACGATCTGCTTGCAGTTGAAGACGACCTTCACAAAACCAAAACGTAATGTGAACACTCAAACACTGAGGCAGAAGACACATTTAGGATTCAAAGTCAGTTGCAAGTATTTTCTTAAAGTCTTTGAAACTGAAGTATTTTTAAATAACACAAAAAGCTCCAGTATAAAAACAAGCTTTAGTTTGAGAGATTGCCATTTCAGGTAACTAAAGCTTTATTAATTAAATAAATCAAGAATTTAAAAGAAAGCCTCTTAAAACACTAAAAATATTATTCTGATAAATATAAACAAACAAAGCCCAAACATACTTTGGTTTTGGTTAAAACAGACTTATACAATCACATCTGGTTAGCAGACCTTCTCATCGTCTACAGAAAGTACAAGCTCAGACAGTGGAAACAACTGTGTTGTACTCTGCTAGACTGACGTTGCTCTAGGCCACCATAAAATAACTATTTGAAATATTTTTATAAAGGAAGGTCCATTTCAGAACACAGGTACTACATGCTCTAATTTTAGCTCAAGACAACAAGCGCACATTAGAAACTCCAGGAGAACACCAAGACCTGCCCACCTGTTTGAGTCTCATACCATACCGTGCAGCTGACCCCAAACTAATACCCATTTTACGAGGTTTTCTAGTTCAAATCCCTTCCATTCTTATCAGCAGTCCTATTTCAGATCTTAATTACATTAAAAAAATAAATAAAAGGTTATAGATGAAGTCTAAATACCTCGTTCAATAAGTAGCTCTGATTTCTCACTGTTGAATCTCTGGCATTCTTTGGCGGCTCTGTCTAATTCACGCTTACAGTCTGACAATCTCTTCTCTTTCTCCTTCACTGTTTTCTGGTGGTTCTGGTATCTGTCCCTCAGCTGTTCATCTGTTCCCTGAAAAACCTGTACCCAAAATACAAAAAGCTAACTTTATTCTGTATTAAATAATTCATATGCCAATTAGTGATGTTTTTTAAAACAGGTTTTACCATAACAGAATTCAAGAAATAAGAGATAAAATCTTCCCATACAGAATTTCTGTACTAAGACATACACTGAGCAAAATTAAATATGCTACAAGCAAAACTGGAAAATCTATTTTTCTTAGGCTGACAAAAGAAATTAATCTAGATTTTTACCACCTAATAATTTCTTTCCATTTGTCAAAATAGTTTTAAATGCCTTGGCACAATCACAACAGAAGACTGACAATTATTTCTTATTTTAAGAGAAAGAAAGAAAAAATCTCCAGGGATATGAACAACATTAACATCAGGAGATTATGAAATTGATCTTCACCAACATCTGATGCATAATAAAATAGATGCTTAGTTCACTGGGTAGCTAAAGACAGACTCTTCAGCAGAAAGGATGGCAGCATGGAATTTAAAAGGCAACCTTTTCCATCTTCTGTTGCAGATCTTGGTTATCCTTCTCCATCTGCCGCCTCCTGCTCTCCAGGGCCTTTACGTCGTTGTCTAGCCTCATTACTTTCGTGAGATTCTGTTCAACTGCTGCCAGGGAACTCTGCAAAGGAAAGAATGCTGTAAGTAAAATATCTCATCAGCTTGTGAATCCTGCAATCAGTCATTCTACACAACATAGTTAGTCTAAATGTAAAACCTTCGGCTTTATCAAGTATTTTTTAAGAAGTGGAGGGCTTAAATTTTACTTTTTGTTTTAGTTACAATTTATAATAGTTTTAGTTACCAGTTGAATTTGAGAAAGAGAGATTTTAAATTAAGCTACAAAAAACCCAATCCCACTACAAGAATTTCACAAACTCTGTTCCTGAGCCTCTCATCCCTGTTTACAGATTAGACAAGCATCTCCCAGGCTTGTTGAGGTATTGCTTGATTCTGCTTCAGAGCAGAGGATTAGATGACACAACATAAAATAGTAAGATCTTAATAAAGAAATTTGTCCCGCTTTCACATTTTTCTGTGTCCTTTAGTATTTATGTATTGTTTTGTATAAAAGTCTTAACATAATTGTCATGCAAATTACCTTTAGAGGTTCAAGTTGGCTCTCAATTGATTTTACATTCTCCTTAGAAGCAGCCAGTTGAGCCTCTCTATTGCTAAGATTATCCTGGATTTCCTGTGCTTTTTCTTTATTCTGTTTCAGATATTTCAGTTCTGTCTGACACTCTTTTACTTTTGAGCCGTGTTTCAGTCGTACCTGACGAAGAGTTTCGAGCGCTTTAATATACCTTTAAAAAGACAAAATTTCAGATCCTATTGGCAATATAGCAATATTGATGTATGAAACAATGCTTTAGACATCTTCGTTATCACCTTCAATATTAGAGAAAACATTTTCTTTCTTAGCTTTTATTGAATTATAGTAAAGAGAAAAACCTTGTTGCTGAAAAGATCTCATCAAATTTTTGTTTCAGGGCCTTCCCTTCACTTAATGGCCAGTTGGATTCTTCTTGGTGGCAGAAAATGACGTTGTTAATCACCGACTTGGAAACACCAAGGGCGCTGATCATCTCTCGATCGATTTCTGCACACTTGGAACTCAGGCTGACCTTCTCGCCATGCCTATGCAGCACCGATAAAGAAAGTCACCAAAGAAGTTACTAGCAAATTCTTTTAAAAGTAAACTTCATTTTTAACAGTATAATCTCATTGTAATGAACCAAAATTTATCAAGCAATGATTTTTAAGAATATAATTTCCACATTCAACACAAGCATTTAACAATGTCAATATTTGTAGCCAAAATATGACACATTTTAAAACTATGCAGAACCACCACAGGGAGCAAAAACAATCTTGAATGAAATTATGTGAATATGCTTCTTAAATAGCGGAGATCGGAGTTAAAAAAATGAATAGTGGAGACTGGGCCAGCAAGATCTGAAACTGAAAATGATGCTACAGGAAGTAGAGCCTACATACTCCACACACTGCTACTGCCAAACCATGTCAGTATTAACACAATTTTCAAACAAATGCAAGTTAATAGATGTAAGCAGTTCTTAACAGAGTGGCTATCAAATGCAGGATTTTTGAACCCACTAAGGGATAAAGTGATGAAACTACACAGGCTTTGATCTAAGAGGATTGGCGGCTACTTCAAGGAACACATTGTGAAGTTTCCTCTTATCTTTTACATAAAAACACACAAAACCCAAATTGATCTTCATGCCAAAGTAAGGAAAAAAAAAACCCAACAACTTACTTTGTTCTAGTAATGACACCTTCAAGTGTTTTAAATTCTGTTTTCTTGCCCTTCTGGGTACAGATCATGGATCGCTGGACAGCTACAAGCTCTCCGTTTACATCTCGAAACTGTAATCGAATCTGAGCTCTAACATCTGTTTCATTGGCAATCTTTAGTAGAAACAAAAATAAAAACCTGAGTAAGGGAAACTCTTCTCAACATCCAAGTGAATACATGCCTTCCCAGCTGTGGGTGATGTTCTAATCTCCCCCATCTCAGTTTCTCCTGAAACAATGTGGTCAGCTTATGTCTGCGTAGAACTTGAATCACAGAATCACAGAACGTCAGGGATTGGAAGGGACCTCCAAAGCTCATCCAGTCCAATCCCCCTGCCGGAGCAGGAACACCCAGATGAGGTTACACAGGAAGGCGTCCAGGCGGGTTTTGAATGTCTGCAGAGAAGGAGACTCCACAACCTCTCTGGGCAGCCTGGTCCAGTGCTCTGTCACCCTCACTGAGAAGAAGTTTCTTCTCAAATTTAAGTGGAAAAAGCATCCTTGTTTTCATCAGGACTCTGCTAAATATTTGACTTAGGAGTAAGCACACATTAAATGTCATCACTGTGGCTTTTACCTTTGGATCGTGAACAAATGAGCTTCCTTTGGTGCCAGGAGGAAAATCTCCAGTGGATATATATTTAAGACATTCAATGATAGTCTAAGAAAACAGAAATAAGTATATAGTTATAATGGCAGTTTAAACAAGATGGACTATAGGCAAAAACACAGCAACAGCCCAAGTATTTACAAATTTGTTCAATATAGGAGGAGAGAGGAATAAGAAATAACATTTTCTTTTTTTGAGTATCACGAGAATACGATACTCTGTAAAATTGGTTTTAAACAGGATCTGGATCAATTTCCTACAAAAAGTATCAACCACTGCATTGCAAAATCCAGGCATCCAGGTCTCTAATAATGCTACACAACATCTACAGTAAACAGCAAGATTTTTGCAACATTATTAATACTCTTCTGTGGAGATCATTAGTCACGTTTCAAGGCCTCTCAAAGCTATTTACAGTGCAAAACCAAACATATGGCAAGCCTTACCGTTTTTCCTGCACCATTTGGTCCCACCAAAATAGTTAATGGATTAAAGAAAGTGATAACTTGTTTGTCTTTATCCTCTACCCCAAAACTCCTCACTCCGAGGATGCTCATTTTCTCAATCTTCGACATTTCTGCAGAACTTCTTCTTTCCCAAAGTCAGAAGTGTAAACGTTACAAATCCTGCAAAATAAGGCATCATGAAAAATCTAGAAAGCAAAGAAGACCACAAATTACTGGTAACTGACAACACGTCTATACAAGCACAAAATACTGTGAATGTCTTTAAAAACACAGCTAAGGCACTTCAGCTATCATTCAAGGTACAGAACACAGGAAGGCAAAACTCTCATTTGTTTTAAACTGAGAAGTTTAAAAGAACTGACCATATCAGTCATCACTAAATCAAAAACAATGCCACAAAATAACCCTTTATTCCTCGTCACAAAAATTTCAGGATGCCCCAAACAAAACAGAGGCTCTAATATTATTTTGCTCTTTAAAAATCTGCCGTTGCACTGCAACACTCAACATCATGCAAGCTTCGCTGCTGCCTCTGTTTCTCACAGGGCCCCATTCAAATTCGCACAGGACATCCAGCATTACCTGATATGAGTGGGGAGGAAAAAAAGCAGACTTTGCAAGCCACAGCTGCAGGGAGAAGCGGGGCCTGTGCATGGGTGCCCCTGTCAGGGGTGGGGTAGCTGATGGGGGCAACTTCTCCCCTAAGGCCTACTGACCCGTGCAAACACATATATTTCAAGTGTATATATTTGTTATTTCAGCTGGGTTTCATATGGCCGAGAAACCATTGCTCGGTGTGCTCCCATCCTCCCATCTGGGCCGCCCCGTCCCCACGTCGCCCTTCCCCGGGCAGGGCCGAGCCCAGGCGCCTTTCAGCCCGGCCCCCTCACCGGGCCCCCTCAGGGGAGGTCAAGCGCCCCTCGGCCTTGCCGGGCCACCGCTGCGGTTGGAGGCAGG